CGGAGATTTATACATTGAGAGAAGAAATATCTAAAAGAATAGGAAATGTTTATTTCATTGGTTGCTAGCAATATATTTACTAATACACGTACTTCAGCGTTGATAAACAATTTCATTCGAATGAAAAAATACTCGAATGAATAATATTTATCTAAAAACGTCGCTCTTCATGAAAGCGATTGTTCATTTTACAAGAGAGTTGAAGCTTAAGTAAATATATTATTAGCGCCTAGCGGGATAAGTATCTTTTATTTTCCAGATATTTTTTTTTCTCAGTGTGTATCGTATTTCTGAAATACTGACCGCTCTTTACTTTCCAAGTAAATATTTACGAAGTACACAAAGATTTCTTAAAATCTCAAACTGTTTCTCACGTCTGTTTGAATTTGACGAACGAAAGTTTCTCCGATCTGATTTGATTGAATATATACTTTCCGACACTTTCATGAATGTTTCTTCTGACGATTTTCTTACTGCGGAGACATATCTTTTCTTGAGAAAAAGTTGCCCAAAGAAAGTCTCGCAATGAAGGGAAAGATAAAGCTGGAAAGTTCGGACCGGATACGCGCGGATGAATTCTGACGTTACTGAAGAGTGGAATTACCGCGGTTTTTCCTCGACAGATATCAAGCACGCAAAATTTGAACTGCAAAAATGGAACTCCGAACTCTCCCAACTGCTGTACGAAATTCAAATTGCAATATCAGGTGTCACCGTTGGAGCGGCACAGTCGCGAGTTGTCAAGTTACTTTCATCACGAATTGAAGTGTTGTCGCAACACAAGCTCGATAAATAACAAGTGAGGACGAAAGAGCGCTGCCGGTGCATAGATTCCAAGTCGAGTCAGTCGCAACGACGATAACGTCGCCGAGCTTCGGGAGGCTCGCAAATTAGAAAGTCGGCATGGCGATGAGAGACGGCGTGCAATCGAATTTTCCGATCCCGACGACTGTGTCGCGACGAGAACCCGGGAGCCGCGACCTGACCTGGGGCAGTCTCTTCGCGGAGAAGCCGGGCTCCCGGTTGAGAGCCACTGGTGCCGTGGCACACACAATGACCACCTGCGCGCGCGTACACGCAGCACACACGCGCAGTGGCATCGAGTGGATCAATAATTTTTGATACTCGCGTACGGGACATTCAAAATACGCGCTCGCCGCGCATGCAACGTAATACGATGTCGCGGCGTAATCGTCGACGAGCGAGGGAAGCGCGCGGAAAACGTGCGTTTTCCCGGCACGAAGAGAGAGAGAGAGAGAGAGAGAGAGAGAGAGAGAGAAAGAGAGAGA